ATTGCTGTTTTCGGACTCAGCGATTTTTGAAACCGAAATAGTATATCACGATTTTTGATGTGTCAAATAAAAGAATGGCTTGAGTGAATTGCATACGGAAATTTCATTCGTTAGTAAGTCTTGCTTGTATCGCTGATAAATTTCAATCATCTGTTTTATATAGGCAATAATAATTGAATGACATGTCCTCTCCACTGATTATTTGCAATACGAACTTGACTAAAAATAATTAGAATCTCAATTACTCCCCAGACACCTTTATTTCTTGTCATTCAGCGCTCTTCACTTGTTTCTTCAAGCAAATCCATGAAACCCAAAAAGTCTGAGAAGTACACCTTCCGTATCGAATACGATGAAGAGCGATTGGAGCATCAGCGAAAGCACCTATTTTAATGTTTGTGACATTCAGAATTTCACTTGGACAAAAGAGGTGATGTACGACTATTTGGCTAATCCGAGGAAGTATTTACCTGGCTCAAAGATGATCTTCGCCGGTTTGAAGAAAGCTCAAGATCGAGCCGATGTTATCAAATACATGGAAGTTGAATCGACCAAATAGGTTACTCTGTCTGTTAGTCACCGCACATTTCTACCTGATTAATATTCATGTTGTTGTTGCTGTTGTTGTTGTTAGGCAGCACTCTAGTCGTGTTGTTCACAGTTCAGTCTCTAACGTTTCTGCTCGCGATCAGAATTATTGAGCACTTTTTTCAACTTTTCACTCACCTGTAGTCATTCAGTTGCCCCAAGAATAACAGCTTTCAACTTTGTATCATTGATCAAATAACGAATTCAGCAAAAGAGTACAAACAAAATAAAGTTTCTCTTTTACATCCATTCACGTGTAATTTCCACATTTTATGAGTTTGCTTACTAATCCATATGTTTAACCTTTATCGGCGCATATCAATGCAGCACGTGAAGAAATCTTTTGGGCAGCTATTGTAGAAACGTTAGAAACTGAACCGAAACCAGTGGATGATAGAAATTTTTTAATTTTTCACGTTTCGCTTTGATCACGTGAAAAGAGCTTTCACTTTCATTTGCTTGTTTTTATGTTGATTATGCATGATGCTCTTCGTGTGACTGTTTACGTCTTATTATGATGTCAGTATACACTAGATGGTAATAAAGTTATAGTTCTATTCTACTGATAGCGAATGGTATCAGACACTCGACTTGATACTATGAAAAACTCAAAATGATGATCTTATTATTAGGGCGTGTTTGAAAATGTATGTACCTGGTTTCTGAACTGTAATTTTTTTAATCAATTGTTCTCGCACAGCAATCGCTCTCAAATTGTAACGAACTTTTTAGAATATCGTTGTCTCAACGTTGAAGTATTGTCGATGTAACATGCTTAACAGAATTTACTGTTGAATAAAAATTCGATGAATTGTATGGATCTGAATTCAAATAAGGTAGCAATTCGATGTTCTGAAACCGAATTGAAAACATTCTGGTGAGCATTCCGAACACCTGAAGATGCCTTCAAATGCTGCAGTTAATGATCCTAGGAACTGGTCCTGGGAA